GGAGGGACCGGGGGGGGTGGCGGAGGTGGGGGCCCCCCGGACGAAGCAGGGATCACAGCAGTGCCACTGGGATGGCCGGGTGGAAGTGTTGGGCCTGAAAAGCAGAGAATGCAAATTAGACGTGAAGCACGATCTCCCCCAGCTCATACCCAAGGTCACATTCCCGCTCCCCAGGCCATGACCTGACCACACGATGAGTGAGCAATGCAAGGAAGCACACAGCACGCAGAAGAATGGGAAATGGTGGTTGCATCAATGGTCAGCGAGCTACAGTTGTGTCCTCCTGCGAGACCCTGTCACTGATAAACTAGCCTTCTCCCTCCTCTTCTTCCTAGCTGGGCTAGTGTTTTATTCTGTCCAGAAAACAAAACACAGACAACACTTCCCAATTCATAAGTGGCACTTTCTCCTGCTGCTCTCATAGCTTTCTACGTGGAGATAATAAACTACATCAGCCAACTCGCTGGACTTCGGTTAACATCAGCTTTTCACTAGAATTGTGGGCTACGGCGACACATCCTCCTTTCTGTTGAACAGAAGGTGTGTGGCCTCGGCCGGTCTTTCAGAATAACAGAGGGAGCATCTCGCTCCAAGCACTCTGAGGTTCAGCAAAGCTCCTCAAAGCAGCAGCCTGTTGGAGGGGCTGATGGTGGGTAACTCCGTTGCAATGTTATGTCTGTTTGTAATAGGTCAGTTGAGCAAATACACCTCCCTGAGGGTATTTCTCCACATTATGCTCTCTCAGAACAAGCTGCTCTTCATATATAATCACAGGTTCAATTGCTCAGTAAGTGTTGTTTTGAAAGACAGGCGGGTTTTGAGTGAGAAACATGCGGAAACTGTATTTAACACTAGCAGCCTGTTTTTCTTCTTATCTAGGTTTTCTTACAATACTGGCTTATTTCTGTGGTTACTTCTGCCATTATTTCACATTCCCAATTCCACTCTTGAAATGAACCATAGCTGCTATTAGAAATACTTTAAATGTTTCAAGCCCTCTTTGGTTCACGAACATAATAGCTAGTAATTCATTGTGGGTACAGTTAATTGTAATTGCAAAATTACACCCACCTAATTAGAGGCCAGCCTGAGGCAAAAATTGAACTGAGTCAAAATAATGGACTGATGTGAGTTTAAAATAACTTTATTGAACTAAGTGGATTTCAGGGATTTATATCAGTTGAAGGACTGAGCCTCTAGTGGTTGAAGTAATATTTTTAGCAGAAAGTGAAAGGAAATGTCTCAGTTTTCTTCCTTTTCTAACATCATTTAAGCATTATGTGTGGTTATAAACAGGAATGGATCCAAGTCACAAAACCTATCATCTGAATTGCAAATAGGCATTGCTCGTTGGAAAACTGCAGGCTTTAGACGAGCGCTAGAAATCAAGACCATATGCAAGGTGGCAGACCCAAGCTCTTGATCTGCCTGTAATGAAAAAGGTGTGCTGGAATAGTTACAGTGACAAGCCCTCAACTATAAATGCCTTTTATACCAGGAAGAGAGATTCTAGAATGAAATAAATTATGCAAGCACAGGGGATCCTGGGTAACTATAACAAAATCCATGTTATATCTTTTGCTGGTAACAGAAATATCACTTAAGAAAAAGAATAAAAATCACAACCTCTACCAATTTTGCCACGCAGGCAACAAGTCTACTGCAGGCCTGGCCTCCAGCTTCAGAAGAGCCCATCCGCTACGTTTGGACTAGCTGAAGATAGGTGTTGTACGAAGCTCGCTGCCAAATGCAATTTGACCCTGCTGAATAATAAAAATCTCCTTCTGGGCTAATACAGTAAGAATACGCATTGCCACAACCCAGCTACAAGGCCCTGGTCCTGTAATTCTTGCTTTTCACCTTGCTTTTAGCTCAGAAGGTCCCTGGACCAGTCCTGAGTGATTTCCATGTTTTTCCACCTTGGCTTCAGAAATCCCGTACAGCAGGAGCAGCCTCGGGTCTCTCAGCCCTCTTCCTACGAGTCCCGGGCAGTGCCAACGGGGCTTTTTAAAGAGCTGAAAACTAAGGCTTTATACAGGTCGCAACTCATTCAAAATCGGTACTTACTCAAGTGGGCAATGGCTGATGAAGTCATGTAAGGAGGGGTCCTCCTGGGCATAGTCGCCTCAGACACAGCAGCGTAAGGGGGAGGCAATGGAAGACAGTGTGACATGGGCTGATACCACTGCTGTGAAGGACGGGGTGATGGATGGCAGGAGGGGGAGGCAGCCTGGCCAAAGCAGCCGGGGGGGCTGGCGATGGTGGGCAGCAGGGAGGAGGGTGCAGCTCCTAGGTGTGGAAAGAAGGATCCGTCCACACTTTTCACCTGTGTCCCAGAGGGACCTAAAGCAATTTGTTCTTCAGGATGGCCATTCAGAGGTACGTTTGCCGAGGTCTCTTGCCCTGCTTTATCTGTGGGTCCTCTGACCCTGTCAGGTGGGACGGGAATCATGGGCAGGATGGTGGGAGCATGTGGCTGCAGGACATCACCTCTCTGCAGAGGTGGTCCATTTGTGGTAGAGGAAGCAGAAGATCGAGGAGAGCAGGAAAGAGAAGAGCGCCTGAGAGGTTGGCAAGAGACAAAGGGAAAGTGGGAAGGATGGGGAAGTGGTGGGGACAGTGAGGTCGGCCTGATGCCCGACGTTATGGTCCTGCGGTTTGGGCAGGCTGGAGAGGAGGAACCCGGGGCTGTTGGCAGCTCGGAGGCTGAGTGCCTGTGCAGGAGCTGCGGGAGCTCTCTGGGTCTCTGCAGGGATCTGAAAGAGGATTGACTGGGGGGCTCAGGGACAGCGGGTGTTGAGGAGACAGCGCTGGCATGAGGTGGTGGAGGGGGCATGGCAGCAGTGGCAGGAGCACCGCAGTCATTGCAGGCGGGAGGAGGAGACTGAAGCTGAGAGGGGGGAGAGCACACACTTGTATGAAGGGTGGAAACTAAAAGAACAGAAAAGACAAATGAAAAGAATAAGATGGGTACGCAGCAAGGAATGAAACCAGGGCCAAGCGGAACAGAGAAAAAGGAACCGCGAAGTGAACGCAAACAAGAAGCTCAAACGAAGCAAAAAGGAGATGGTGCAGGCACTGGGTTGGGGGTTTCCAGCCCTCAGCAGAACAGGAGGGCTGTGCAGAGCAGGACTCTGTCACGGGATGGGCTGCCTGCCTCCACCGTGGCCATGTGGAGCAGGACCCTGGCACAGGATGAGCTGGCTGCCTCCACCATGGCCATGTGGAGCAGGACCCTGGCAGCACAGGATAGGCTGCGTGCCCCAGTGCCAGTGAGGCTGCTCCAAGCCTTGTGTGAATCTGAGTTAGGATCATGAGCATCACCCTCACTCCAGGGGCAGCTGCAAGGGACATGCTGAACACAGCGATGGCCACCTTGTACCCAGGGAGAGGACAACCAGAAGTCCCCGGGAGCCATGACTTGCTCCTCGCAGATGCTGAGGCAGGATTTTGGCTATGTTCCCTATGCAGAATAGCACACAGTAATCTCTGCCCAAACAGAGTCCAGTAACTTCTGTCACTGGCTAAGGCCTGTGGGTATGTCTTAGCTGGTTTCAAGTCAAAAACAACTAAAAAGTTGTAAGAGCTGAGGAAAAACATTTCACTTATGTAGCCAGATTAACTGAAAAAACTCCCCCAAACCAAAGTCCAAACAAAAGATGGCCATCTTGGCTTGCTTGCTGCCTTCTTTCACAGAGGCAAAGCCATACTTTGTAGCTATTAACTGTTCCTGTCATCTCTTCTCTCAGCTTTGTGCAACCTAATATGCTATAGAGGATTTTCGTAAGTTCATTAAATATACATATTTTTTCCATTAAGCTTACAGAAGACTCCTCACTTCATGACCACAAAATCCCCTCCAATGAGCATCTAGAGCTATATTTTCCTCTGTACTGTAGTTTGCTTTGTGCTGCAGAGCAACAGGGAGTGCCTGACCTGGCACATCCATCATGTCCACCCCTTCTTGCTGACATCCCCTAGAAACATGGAGTCACTCTTGTGGTGGCTATGCTACCTGCTGTCCTCACGAGTGTGGAAGAAGCATGGCCAGGCCCCCTCGGTACGCCTAAAATCCCCCTCAGCTGTCCAAGTTTTGACAAGAGCAAAACCTGCTGAGCTCCACCTGCATGCCCCGGACCAGAGCCTCTATGAAACAACACAGCCATGCCCAAATGCATGTAAGTCCCTAGCTGAAAATGCTTTAAAATCTAATCATAACCATAACCACTTCTAGCAGTTGAGCTCTTGTATAGCACCACACAAACCCCAACTACAGCTAGAGGAGACAAGCAGGGAGAGACTCTATCTGCTTGGTTTGATACGTGCCTGTGGTAGAGGTTCTTCTTTCCAGAGATTCCTGGCGCTGCTGCTGTTGCTCCATCACTTGTCTAAAACCGCAAAGAAAAAACCCTCAGTTATTATGCATTCTTTAGAATTTTGAGTAAAAGCTTGATAGACCGAGAAGCACTCAAGCTGCATGTCTTGGGTGGTGTGAGCCAGTCCCCCGCAGACACGCTGTTCCGTGAGATGGAGGTGGGTTTGATTTCCCTGGCCCTGGCCACAGCGGTGCCACTGCACGCGTTGGGGAAGCGTACCCAAGACTTTGCCCTGCACCTGCCGGACACCACAAGGGCTAGTTGATGCATTTAAGATAACTCAACAGACTCTGCAGGAGGAATAGTCAGTGCCCCAGGTCCAGGAGAGCACAGCAACCAGGCGTGTCATTAACCTGAAGCGGATGAGCGTTGCCAGGGAAAAGTAAGGGGCATCTCACATAAAATAACACAGTCCTGAGCCTTCTACAGATCAGGAACCGAAAGGGCTTGTAGTTAAAATGAAAATATAAAGAAGCTTGATCTGCATTTAGGAGCTGACTGTACCAAACCTGTTTTGCCCAGCTGCACAACCAAGCCCTTTGCTGGCCCTGGTGAGCCTGGCACCTCACCTCCTTGCACAGCCATCCCTGGGCTGCCCAGCGTGGCCAAGGGCACGACGACCACTGTGTTTCCTCCACAAATTCCCATCCCTACATTGCACTGCTGCTTTTTGGCATCTTTCTGCTCAGCAGCTGCTACCTCCTGTGCTACCCAGGCCTGATGTCCCTCAGGGAAATGCACCGCCAAGCCTTTTCCCAGGCTCTGCTTTCCAGACACGTGCAGTTCCCAGGGTTTATCAGCAGAGGTCTTCTCCTTCACACTTTAGCACTTCTGCAGAAAGAGCCTTCGCCCTTGCCACAAACCCGCCCTGGCATTTCTCCTGTTAAAAAGATTGAGAGCTAAAAACTAGACTATGTGCCAGGCTTTTGACCATGCACATGGATATGGACTAAAGACAACAATACTAAAACACAACTCCAAAATTACCTTACTGGAGCACTTGGTAATAAGGTTTATTATAATTTTCTTCCATGATTTCTAGACCAAGTTTGCCTTGAATTTGTTCCATATATGTTAGGGCCAGTCTTAACTGCGTAGAGATTTCTTTTTTCTGTAACAACTTTACTTCATGGTCTGTACAGCAAGGCAAGCTTAACTCTAGGCAACAGTTCTATTTTGACTCCTTAGGTAATAGTTTAGAGAGATCTCCCTGTTACATTTTTACTTGTACTTTCCTGAGTCGGCCATTTTAAATAATTCTATCTTCTTACATAAAGATAAAAGCTTTTTTTTAGAAAAAAAGCCCAGAAAAATAAAGTTACATTATGTAAGGAAAAAAGAATGTCTTAATTGGCAAAACAAATTTCCCATATTTCAATTCTAATTCAATAGATGGAACAGGAAAATCCACAATTATAATTATTTGCTGTGGAGGGATCAATTCTAAACTGGTTTTATGTTCAGGACACACAATCCATCAAACACTGGCAATTTCTGGAAGACCATTATAGGCAGCTGAGAAAATTATTCTATGTGTAAAGGGGAAACAGTTTTGAGGAACAGCCTTGGTTGGCTGATTCAACTGGTTTCATTTAAGCTACGACACTTTAAACCAAACGAATAGAAATCTTTACTTCAATACGTACCCTGGCTCTTGCGTAATAGTTATGGGCTGAACACATATGCAACAGCATCAATTGCACTGCTGAAATTTCAGTTGCAAACACATGTACTAAGAATTTTCTACATATCATCCCCTAGCTTAGTTTGGCATTTAGTAGCAAAATTCGATGATGAAGAACAACTTGACACGTACTTTTTCATCATTAAACCTGGGGGAAATTCTACATTTATCTGGAGGACAGACTTGGAAAACTCCAGCCTGACAGACCAGTACAGAAATATGGTTAAGACAACTCCAAGTCATTAGATCTGCTGCAGAGCAGATAGAGGTGCAGGGTGCTCCCCGAAACAAGAGTCAGCTGCAGTCATTTGAGGTCATTGGGGTTCATGCCAGCTCTGTCTGCCCTTGGGCAGAAGCAGTCTGTATGTGCCAAATGCACCCTCCCACATGTGCTAAAAGGAGAAGTTCTTACACTCTTAGGAAGTCAAATTTATTCCAGTGGAACTAAATAAAGCCTGAGATTGGCACAAGGCTGCTTAAGGAGTATGCAAGGAGTAAAGTACAAGAGAGGACAAATTACACTCTGACTTAAAAATACATTCTTTTAACATTTGTGCAAAGGCCTCTAAAAAAACCTTTTATCCAGACAAATTTGCAGGGTTGTTACCATAACTTCATTTCCTTGCCTGCTTACAAGATGTTCAAAAAAAGCTAGGCCTAAAATAAGGTCTGCTCTATCCTTAAAGAATGCATCAGCATAATTAAAGCTGAAAATCCTCTAGTGCAGATGCAGTAATATCTAAGTGCATCTACTGGCATAGCTTATTCCAGCCAGTGGAGCAAAAGAAGCTTTCCCAGAACCACGTGCCCTGTAGCAGTAAAATATTCTTTCCTAACATAGTTAAGCTGCTCACACTTTAAATGTACAGACTAGATATCTAAATTTGAGGTCTGAGTTACACACGGTCTGAATAATCAGTGATTTCCACTGGTTAAATGAAGAGCTGGATCAGGCCTTTCAGCCAGCCGCAGGGACAGGCGGCAGCCCCCGTGCCCCTCGGTGAGCGGGACCTCTCCTCTGACCTGTACCTTTACCCAAAGTAAATCTCACAAATCTCCAGTGAAATATTACCCGCTGACCCATTTAATGGTCATATGTAAAGCCCTAATAAATCTCAGG